ATTGTAGCCGCCCAAGTCAATCTATTTGACAACACCTTGTCGACGTGCACTTCGTGCCAGTTGGCGCCCAATGGAGGAGGGGCGTTTTATGCTTCTTTCGATTGTTCCAATCTGCTGCAGGGCGGCTGTGTTGGACGGGACGAGAACCAGCAGTGTATCAGTAACAATACTTGAGAGTGAGATCGGAGACAACTCAATTGAAGGAGGGTTCTCACTTGAAGTGGACTCCATCCAGGTTTTGTGCATACCTACATGCCGGTGTGTTCCTTTTTATCGCCAATGCATTCCATCTATCTATCCATCGAAATGCACTACAGTTAGTTTGATCCATCTATCTATGTAGACCTACAACAATAAGATTAAAGCTAAGATAAATTAGTTGAGGGCATTGGCTAAAGGGGAGCGAGCGCTGCAAAAGGCCGTCCCTTGGGCATTTGCATTGATGATTGGCGGGGGCAAAACTTGGGTCAAGTTTGCAGTGAGAATGAAGTCTGCGGGTTTCCTTTTGAGCATTGTGTAGCTAACTAGCTAGAGCGTTGGAAGAGGATGGATGCCGACACTTTTACCCTCGCGAACATATCTGTATCCCTTCGAAAAACTCAATGCCATGCTGCCCCGCATAGACATGACTGGGTCCGGTCTGCTTCCGAAGCAGCACCCGGTGGAGACAAGAAACGGGCCAAAGGGTTCCAGTGGTCGTTCCAAGGGGGGAGAAGCTGGCAGGATGGTCCGCACACAACGACAACTTACGGGGAAAGCAGAAAGGTGGGGTTACATGTCTGTATTGCGGGTGCAGCGTCCAACCCTCGTTTGAGGGTGTTGAGGAATGATTGATCTTTCCAAGCCCAAAGCATCAGCACTAAGACTTAGAGTAATCCAACTGCCTTGCGGACTGAAGACTGGCTGCAGACTAACCCGCAACCTGCAGTGACCAACCAGGATGTGGTGGCCAAACTCTACCTTCCTGGCATTTCTCCGAACAACACTTCGATTTTCAAAAAGTGAAGTTGCTGTTTCTGACCACCCTCTCATGCCTCTCATGGAGTATTTGACTATTACTAGTAGTAGTATGTCAATTGCCTGCACCTTGGGGTAATGTCCTCCAAATGGAAGAAAAAGCTCAAATTTTAATTGTTCAGAAAATGTAAAATGAAGCAAAGAGACATGCAGGACTCCACAAGGCCTGTTGAAGTTGAATAATCTGAATCTGAATTCTGAGAGCCTCTTAGAGCCTATTTAGGCTCTTAGAATTAAGATTGGAAAATTGAAAACTCAGATCCCAGTGTAAATTAGCTAGATATTCAATCTGGTTTTTCAGATCTGAATTCTAAGAGCCTGTTGTAATTTTAAGAGCCTAATTAGGCTCTTAATTCAGATTCAGATTGGTCAGCTTAAATAGGCTGTTTCCTTTTCAGTCTGGGGAACATATTTTTGAAGAAAATGTTTTTGAAAAAAGGAGAAAAGACTCAATTTGAGTTGATTACCTCAAGATGCTGTTGTCGAGTCTTCTACTCAGAGTATAATCAAATGCAGGAAAAAGTGAGATCGCGAAAACATTTTACAGAGACAACCCTCACTGACAACAGAACATCAGCAACTCTAACTCCCTGACGAACGGAAACTTGAAACTTCTCTGTGTAAGAAAGTTGAGACTCTGAGATACTTGGCTTATCGGTTCCCAGCTCTGCAGCCCGGAAGGCACCAGATTTACCGGTTTTCTGGAACCTCGCTAAACCAAACTCACGGTATTTCACTGTAATTCGTCCGCGAATCGCGCAGCACGAATGCGTATTCGCGCAGAGCGAATGCGTATTCGTTCTTAATTCGCGGAGTTTTACTAGCAGATATACGCATTCATTCGCTCTAAACTTGCGGTATTCGCGCTGCGCGAGTCAGCGCGAATAGCGCGAATCGCGAACGAATCGCGCTAACACGCCCACCACGAATTACCGCGAGTTTGAATAAGCTTAGAGAATCGCAAAAATCCGCTGCCTTCCTGGCTGGAGGCTGGAGGTCCAGCTTGCTACAATGTCATGTACTTGATACTTGATAGTCTTCAAGCTTCAATCTAGCTGGCAAGAGCTCTGGCAAGCAAGCTGCTCGTTCTTTTCCCTTAGACATGAGAATGGGTTGAACCCAGGTCATGGATTTGAAACCTTTCAAGCAAACAGCTTGCGAAGCCTGAAGGCGTAAAATAAATATCCAACAGCTCCCATGCAACTACTCGTACTAGCTAGCTAGCCAGCTTCGTAGCCAGCTGCCAGGTTCGTAGTTCGTAGTCTACCCGTAGCCTGCCTCTGGCCAAAACCACTTTGGATTTCAGGTAAATGCAGTACTGTAAAGATAATTCAAAGAGTAAAACAAAAACAAACTCAATAATTACCTCAACTACCCTCAAAAGAGAAGCAGTGGAGTTCTCTAGCTAGCCAGCCAGCGACCTTTTTCAGGTATCGGTACCGTACCGTACCAGCTGCCCGGTAGCTGGTACATGTAAAGGAGTGGGCGGGAGGTGGGTGTGTGCCAATGTACCGTATGTCATTGTCATTCGAATGGATTGGATTGGATTGGATTAGCTTGACTATTGGATTTTGGATTCGATTCTGGCATTCCGAGTCGAGAAAGAAAAGGTGAGGAGCGAGCGATTGGTGAACCTTCTTTGTGAAAGTGACGAGACACGAGACATACTATTTTAATTAATACTAGTAGTAGATTGAAGCCAAAGCCAAAAGAAGCCTCGAGGTTTCGAATTCTCAGAGACCCACTGGTTTTCTAAAATGTCATTTGAACGAGGTTTTGTGTACACTTCCATTCCAGTAATGTACTCGTGACCATGATATATACTCCAGTACTCGAGTACAAAAGACCTTTTCATTCGACACTGGTTGGTGTAAGACCACTTGTTTATGCCAATCCACGAAGTGTCAATCGCGCCAATTCCCCCCAAAAACAAAGAACGTCGAAAGAAGTAAAAAGCCTTTGATTGTTTCTACATGTACTACTGGTATTATTGAGGGCGCCAGTAATCAGTACCGGTACTCAGTACTCGAGTGATCATGAGTCCTGACAGAGTAGCCGAGTACCGGTAGTCTACCAATTTCCAGGATTTAACGCAAGTGATATCGTTTGCATCTAGGTAGTGGAGTACATACACTCCAAACCTGAAGGTAAGAAACTGAGTACTCAGATTTTAGAAAAAGACAAGAATCGAATCTTCCATACTGGAATGTCACACAGTGTTCAACATTCAAACTAGATCCAAACCAATTAAGAGTCCTGACAAAGTTGAACCAAATTGTCCAGGTGCACTGGATGTATACAAACACTGCCCTGTTTGATCTAGAAGCTTAGTAAGAAAGCCTTCTATTGAAATTGGCTTGTTTTGAGAGAAATACAATGGGTAGAAAAATAGAGCAGTTGGGGAACCAAAACTGGAGTAATGACTCCCAGCTTGAGCTTTCTTATTATTGAGTTTGGAGTTTACCGGAGTTCGCAATAACAAAAGCAGCTTGTCCACAGAGACCTTCTCGTTGTAAATCTTTTAGTCGTTTTCTTGAAGGGAAGATTTAATATTTTCTGAAAAGACTGCTCAGATACATTGTCAATTGTCAACACCTTCCTGTTGATTATGGTAGATGTGGTAAAACAACTTTTGAAATCATTTATCCACAGTAGTTTTTAACTTTAACCCTTTGTTTGCCTCAACTACCGTTCCTCAGCTGTCTTTCTGTGACTGCGCTCGACCATTGTCCAATGCTCAGCTCTTAGCTTGTCTAAAAGTTGGCTTCCGTAAGGTGAAATGCTTATAGTCAGTTCCCCTTCTTGATGTTTTGGGTTTGCCTCTGATTGCTTTTTGGTCATTAATGACTAAATTTTGCCAGTTTAACTTCTTTTACGGTAACAAGCTACCTTTGCAGTCGTACAGTACCATTGGTGTTTGTTCACTGATCTATTCTTGCGTGCTGTTGTGCCTGGTGGGGAAGGAAGTCATTGCGTCATTGCGTCTACTAAATATATGTAGTACCGCAAGCTGTTGAGTTGTAACCCATCAACCCATCACCCAACAATTTGCGATGGCGGACTGACTAAAAGGAAAAAGACTTCCCTCTTAGCTTCGTGCCTCGGCTCACAATTATTTATTTTCCAACCCCCAAGAAATACAACATACTGCTACTACAAAAAAAAACTACCGCAGAAAGACAAAAAGATCGACCATGATAATGTCTGAATTATCTCTCCGTCTGTTCTTGCTGGTCTCAGTCTTGACCAATGCTGGAGCACAGACTACAGCTGTGAACTTTATGACGGGAACAACTGACACAGGTGAGGAATGCTTCTGTGAAGTGTCTGATCTATTAGCCGAAACCGGAGCTCCCGAGAAACCGATAGCGGGGAGCGACGTTGTCTTGAGTAACGTGGAATGCAACCCCGACGATATCGCGACCTGCCAAGCCAACTGCGAGGGACTCCATGGCAAAGACCAGTACCTTGCCGACAAGTGCTGTGCTTATGTGGGACAGTCTGCCAGTTTGCTGGCGTTTGAAGAAGATTCCCTTTGGGTTCCCAGGCTCGAAGAGTTCAACAGGTGCACCGGTGCCCGTGTCAGATTGGAGTACCTCCCCGAGGGTGAAGACGGAATGGCCGATGCTCTCCGACAGGATCTCGGAGATGACGTCTCTCACGATCAAGGCAATGCGGAAGGACAGGGTATCTTCGATGCATACATTGTTCAGGCTCCATGGTTGTGGCCTGTTGTCAATGGTCTTGACAACTTGACCCCTCGTATCCGAGAAAGCGCTGACACTGTCAAGTTTCTGGATATTAACCCGGCCAGTCGAGCTGCCGTGTCCTACAACGGTACCGTCCGGGCTCTTCCCTTGGACACGGATTACATTGCTTTGGGATGGCGTCAGGATGTCTTCCACAAGTACCAGATCCCCGAAAGGATGACCCCACCACGAACTATTCAAGACCTGGCATTCGTTGCTGAGAAGTTGCATGGATTGGACTTCAATGAAGATGGAGAGGGTGACTGGGGTGTCTGCTTAACACCTCAGGTCAACTACTTTCATGCCTTTGTCGCTCCCCTCATGCAAACCAATCTGAACGATCCTGAAAATGGTCTGCCCACCGGACAGAACATGTTCTTCGCCGCTGACACTTTTGAACCCCTCATTCGTCAGCCGGCATTCAAGACTGCTGTAGAGACCTACTACAAAATCATCCGAAACTCCAACTGCGGAGAGCAATTGTCCAACGGCGAGAAGTGCGACAGAAAGACCGCTTTCCCCACGGGGCGATGTGCCATGGTCATCTCCATGCCTGGTACGCTTACCAAGATGCTCTTGGACGGGGCCAAGTACGCCCCGCAACGTCGAGTCGATGATACCACTGGAGAAGTGTTGTGGGACATTAATAACATGACATTGGGCGGTGGAGGCACATACTGGGGTCGAAGAGCACCCTTCCCCGGTTCGACTGTGGTTCAAAAGTGGGACAGAGCCGCTGGATACCCTCTCGTCGAATGCTCAGCAGACAACGGACGTCACTGCCCCTTGGCCGACGAGAACGGCGTCAACAATGCACCTTTCTTTGCAGAAGGTGGTGAAGCTTACGCACTCAATGGCCGACAAGCAAAGCCTGCTGCACGCGCCGTCATGTGGGATCTCTTCACTTGGCTCTCCGAATTGCCCGAAACAGCTCTTCCACTCTCTGGACAATATCGCAAGTCGCATTTGAATGAAGAGCACCGTGAGGTTCTTACCGATGAAGCAGGATGGCCCAACCAGATGGTTGACGATATTTTCAATCTTCTTGGAAAATACTTCAAATCAGAAGACGTAAGTTGCGGGGGCGTTTATGCTTGTGTGTGGTTTGTTGTATGTGACATTGTTTCTGATTGATGTCTGTCTGGTTTGTGGCGATGCTTTTGCAGGAGGGAGGCAACCCCGTACAAGACCTCTTGATGCTTGGATTTCCAGAATACATGGGAGCTCTCGATGAAGAGCTTCACGATAAGTTTTTGGGTGTCAAAACCGACTCCACCGGCGGTGTGTTCAATCGAAATGATCCCGTTAGATCTGTTGACCCTTACCTTGACCACGACAGCTACAATGAGGCATACACTGCTTTCATCGACGCCCTGGAAGAAAGGTACCACGCCATCTCTGCCAGTATTAGTGGTGGACGTATGGGTCAGCTCCAAAGATGGAGGAGTTCGCTCAATCTTCCACTCCGAACTGAAGAAGAGCTCTGCTTTGCTACGTTGTCGTCCAACCAGATCGACGCCTTCGTTGGTCTTAAATGCGCCACCAGAGTGTCATTTGATTCCCTTTGCCAAACGCAGCCCGATATTGTTGCAAACTACGATGTTCAGCTTTGCGACTCCCTAAAGTCGGATTCCAACCTTGCCGTTGTCATTCCCAGCATCGTTATCCCTCTCATCATTGTGGCTGTTATTGGCGCCTACATTTATGGGGAAAAGAAAAAGCAGAGAGGAGACAACGTCTGGCAAATCGACCCGGACGAGTTGATTTACAAGGATCCCATCGAAGTCATTGGTACGCCTCCACACTGCTGTCTCCTCAAACCAATTGAGCAACCAATTGAGCCTTGGTGAACGTGCTCTAATTTTTTTCCATTTCTCTTGCTGCAGGACATGGTAAATTTGGGGAGGTCGTACTTGCAGAATATCGGGGTACGACAGTGGCTGTGAAAACAGTGAACCCCGCAAGGTTGGTTGACGGGTTTCATGACGAGGAGCAACCAGGCATTTCTTCGAGGATATCAATTTCATCAAGAAATTCCAAATCCATGAAATCTGTGCCCTTGATGTTTGGTGGAGCGGGGAATGGCACCTCCTCGGCCAGGTCAAGTCTGGGCTCTGGCTCAGCTAAGGTGAAGATGGGCACTGGCTCGGCAAAGGTGAACAGAGGCACTGGCTCGGCAAAGGTGAACAGAGGCACTGGCTCGGCAAAGGTGGGCAGGGGTACTGGCTCGGCAAAGTTGACCGTTGGCACTGGCTCAGCCAAAACTCGTGGCTCTTCTTCCTCTAGGGGTATTGCCTCGATTACAGCCAGTGGTCTTGCCTCGATGACAAAAACTGCTCTCGGATTGACATCCGTCACGCAAGAAGCCAGGGAGATGCGGGAGGAGTTCATCGCTGAGATTCGGTTATTGGCAAACCTGCAAGAACACAGGAATATTGTTTGCGTGATGGGAGCTGTCGTGAACGGTACTCACGAGCCCAAGTTGGTCCTGGAGTACATGGAACGCGGCAGTTTGTTCGACCTCCTCCACAACGCGAATTTCCCTATTTCTGGTGAACTCATTCACAACATTCTCACTGATGTCATCCAAGGTGTTAGGTTCCTTCACAATGCCAAACCGCATGCGGTTATTCACTCCGATCTCAAGTCTTCGGTACGTGCCTTGCATCGCTCATGCCAATAACGTTGGCGAAGTGTATCCGTTATTCGTTATTCTCACTTTGATTCGTGTTCTTAGAATATTCTGATCGATGAACGATGGCGTGCCAAGGTTGCTGATTTCGGGTGGGGTACTGCGGGAACTCCTTACTGGACTGCTCCTGAGGTTTTGAGGCAAGAGACACTTTACACCCCCGAATCGGACGTCTATGCGGTTGGTGTGGTGCTCTACGAGATGTACAGTCGGTCCACTCCTTACGAAGGTGAAGATTACGACACAGTACTTAAGAAAGTTGCAGACCCGGCCATTCGCAAGCGTCCACCCGCTCCCACAACGATGAGTTCTTCCATAGCCGACATGATGAGGGATTGTCTCCGCGACGCACCGGAAGAGCGACCAACCCTCAATGAACTGGGCTCGCGAATCAGCCGTCTTTCCATGGATGATATCGAGTACCAGGTTCAGGGCGATGGCCCCGGATCCCAGATTATGTTTCCCGAGAACGTTGCAAGGGCTTTGTCAAAGGGTCACAGTGTCGACATTCAGACACACGAGAATGTTTCTGTGGTGTACTGTGAAATCATCGGCTTTTCTGCCCTCACTGCCGAGCTGCCTCCATTGAAGATCGCGGACATGCTGCAACGTTTGCATGACCACTTTGATGTTCTCTCCGACAAGCACAGCGTGTTCAAGGTGGATGTCTTGGGTAGTAGCTCCTGGATGGGAGCCACGAATTGTGTTCAGCATCAACCCGACCACACAGCGCGCATGGCAAAGTTTGTTATTGAAGCTATTGAGGCTGCAGGCACCACACTCATCGATGAGGATAATCCTGAGCGCGGTTATGTTCAAATCCAGACAGCAATGATATCTGGGGAGGTCAAAGCGAAAGTTGTTGGTACTCGCTCGCCCCGGTATTCACTGTTCGGGCCTATCATCGAGGCAGTCACATATCTTGCAGGGGAGAAGTCTGAAGCTGGCAAGATTGTGTGTACGGAGAGAGAACAAGGTGTCCTGGAGCGTAGGGCTCCTGAAATCCCAGTGTTAATCAAATCGCGTGTCTTCATTCCAGGTTTTGGCGCCACTTTGACTTTCTGGGTGAATGAGAAAAATTGAAAACCAACTGGGCGATGATTGGTTTGTGTGCTTGATTCCAGATGCCTCCCGTGATAGGATACGGTACATAAGATACATTTGTTTTTAGTTCTTTCATTGAATCTTCTCGTGAACGTCCCACCAAACCAAACTTGGCTAGCCAGCTGCATGTAGAAGCAACAGCCGTGCTCGTGGTGCCTCTTCTCGTGCTCATCTTTTTCTGGGCACCGTTCGCCACTTTGCTTGAGTTGGATCTCTGAAGACACCTTCCGCGTTTTGAGGTACAACTGGTATTGGCACAGCTCGTCTTGCAAGACAAGAATTCTGTGGTTCTAATTTTTTGTTTGCTTTCCTGGATGGTGGCACTGCTATCATACTGCCCCCGCTGGATAGAGAGTCGAGTCTAATCACAGCTAGAGGTGCTTGTGTTCAGGAGCAACTGCGTACTGGTACTGGTAGCTTCATCTACGGACTCGACTCCTCAAATCAAGCTCATACAAGAAGCAACACAACTGCCACACCGCGGGTTCCGACACTCTCAACTCCATTCTTTGCTTGAAGGTTTGTGACGGGGAAATCAAGACCGCTAACCTAGACTGTATAATAAAAGAAGGCGGATGTGTGAGAGATCCGAGAACCAAACACTGTGCGTTGCTCAAAAGTTTCCCAAATGGTCAAAATGTAACCATCCAAATGGACGGAGCAAGATCGCTGGATTGCTGCTCTAAAGCTTTTGCTTGGGTGCCTCCATTGACAGGTACAAATAATAATGTCAGTCGAAAAACGGTGGATGGGTGATGGGCACAAGTTCTACTAGCTAGCTAGCTACTAGTACTCTCGGTTACGGTAATAGAGATACCCCAGTACTTGTAGTACTGGTACCAGTACCGGTGGATGTACCGGGAGGTCAGTCTTTTTACATGTTGGCGCCCCTCAATAATTGGAAAAAGTCTTCGAACCCGGCCCTGGTGCAGTCTACAGTCTTCTCCGCTGCGGCAGCTTATTTTGCATCTCTGAGAGTGAAAATCAGTGCCAGGCAGGGGTACCAGTTCAGTCCAGGTTGTCTGCATACCTCCATCTCAATATCTTCCAAGTCTGTAAAAACAAAAGAGTGAACACAATGGTTTGTAACATATAACTTATAATCATGTAAGTGGGGGGATGTATCTCAGGCACCCAGGCCATGTTGGTAGCATGGAGCTGGAACCAATGGTTGTAAGGTTGGAGTAGTGATGCTAATAGACTTCAAACTTGGTACAGATCATGGTTCACACTGTTTTCAATGCCAGGATGCCTGTGTACATTCTCTGGAGATCATATGTGGATTCTGCTTCAAGTAGTTGTCTGCTAGATGTGCTCCTTTTCCTTTTACATTCCAGCACTGGTGGAGTGTGTTGTTGGTGAAGGCATTTCCCCAACACAACACCAGTGCGTGTGCGTCGCGCCCACCTCTGTTGAGTGAGAAAAGGGTGTGGAGCTTGATGAGGGGTCTGGAGAGTTTGAAAGGCTGCGGGGAAAGAAAACCATAAAAAAAAACAGTTTCTGCTAATCGTTGTGAAATGATTGATTGAATTCCCGCTACTTGTTGTTGAATAGCCATTGAAGATGTAGAGTTGGAATTTTTATGAGGACAGGTGTTATTGGGTGTGGTATTGGTCGTAGGACTTTGAGTTTAGTCTTGTTTCTTGTTACCCGATAGGCTGTATGTTGTCAGCAAGAGGACTGAGATTGGAATGAGTTTTTAGGTCATGAAGTCAGAAGTGTTGTGAGTGATGGACTAGTGGTAGTGAACTTTTTATTTTGGAGTGTGGTAGTTGTGACCGAGTAGATTTGTATTTGATGTTTTCTTTAGCGAGCTTGTTGGATAAAAGTTGTAAAAGTCTTAGAGAGGGAAATGCGTTGAAGATAAATGTTTATCGATAGGAGATGAGAAGGATCAGAGTGTGTGTAAATTTTTCATAAAGAGAGTGTATTCATATGAAAAAATGTAAGATTCAGTCATGGTTAGTTTGTGTAAAAGGTGGTTAGAAGAGGAAGTTATACCGCCGTTATGATGAGGTTGTTGAATAAAGTAGATATTTGAGGTTACGATTGAGAGCTGAGAGTTTCTGTGTAAGGACTTGTGGACAGAGTTAACAAGGCATTTTGAAAAAGTATGTGGTAGTAAGAGGGGAGCTTGTAGTTAAGTAACCAGTATTGGAACGTGATTGGAAGTGGATTGTACTTTAAAAGAAGTATTGGAGAGTGGAGGATGATTGATGAAATATGGGAGGCTAACACGATCTATAAAGGTGGATGAAAGTAGTTTATGTAACTGTCTTGGACCCAGAGTTCGAATACTTATGAGGAGTTATGTTTGTGTAGCGTAGACTATGGTGATGGAAAAAGAGAATTCTATAGTACAAGAAATTGATGGTTTGACGTGTGTTTGATAAATATTTATGATCTTGGATCTTAAGGTTGTATTGGAGATTAATATGATGAAAAGTGCAGAAGTTTGTGGTGGTTAGGGTGAATCAGTAGTTAGTAAATGTAGAGGTAGTATGGTGAGATTGTTTGTAGAGAAATTGGACTAGAAGCTGGTGTATGCGTCTTGGCAATTATGGTGGGAATAGGTTGAGGGTAGATGAAATCTATTGTGTTTGTTAAAAAATGATAGTAAAAGCTAGTGTAAGATTACGAGTGTTTTTGATGTTTGAGAGAATGAGTTAGTGAGAGGTATTGAAAGCTTGAAGAATAATCAAAGAGAAGTAAAAATAGTCGTAATTGCATAAGACGGAGAGAGAATGTGATGGTAGTTGACAGGTGCAATTAATAAATACAGATCCACAAAAAAACGGGAAAGGTGAAGATTAGTTAGATTTATCTTAGTAGACGTTGAAGTATAGAGTAAATATCTTGGAAGTATTCATTAACACTTATGGAAATAGAGAGGGATTTGGAACACATGTAATTACTATTCACGAGATACTCGTTCATGAGTCGAACTAAAAACATATCTAGGATCGAGTAGAGAATAAGGATAAGAGACGTGTATTGAATTGAGCGTAATTTTTGCATTGGGACGGCTAGGGGATGAATAGAAGAGGTGGAGGAAAAGTTTTACATTAATAAGAGTTGTAACTCCATATATACATGAGAATGAATATTAGGGGAATGTTTGGTAGAAATGTTATTAGATGTGAAATGAGATAGTATGGAGGCAATATTGCTCTGAGCAGAAAAAGAAGAGGAAATTGTGTAATTTTTTTAGTTTAGAGGATTGGCTATTAGTAAGGTAACTAGAGACGTATGTAAGTATTGTTGGGAGCCTGTGAAGAGTTTGCGTGGTAGTTAGTTTGAATGATACGGTGGTATTTTTTGTTGTTTAGAAGTGTTTGTTTTACGGAAGTAAGAAAACAAAGAATAGGACCATGATGATGATAACGTGGTCGTTTGTTAGAACACTGAATGATGAGTGGAAGACTGTGATTTATTGAACGCATGAATGACGTATTTAAAAAATGGTGTTTCTGAGAAAAACTGCATATGTGAGTAAAATGGTGTTTCAGATAGCAAAGGCAGGTACCAAGATGGTGTAAAAAGGAGTGAAAGTTCTAGGCTTGACGAGTTAAAATGTGTTTGTAAAAGATATGATGCGTAAGAATTGGTGTTAGCAGACAAAAACACGGTAACAGACTGGTCTACAATCAAAATAAAGAAAACTGGTGTTGTAAATTTGAGAGGAAAACATGGTGGTCGAACACTATAGGAAATGGTAGAGTGAATCATATAATGGTGAGCTGTTGACCGGTGAATATAGGAATGGTGTTTGATGAGAGTTTTGGTTTAAAAAAAAAATGGAAAAAGGTCATTAGTTATATGAGATCGATATAGATAGGTTGAGTTCAATCCATGAATGAAGTTCTTCGTGTGGAATTTAGTTTGAGACAGTGTTCTCTATGACCGCGCTAGTCATAATATGTTGATGATGAAACAACGATCTAGATATTTAGCCAACCTGGAGTACTTCCACGCCAATAGATAAATGCTAGACAAAACTTCCACTCGTTCCGTTTCAGGATCGTTGAGATACGTATGACTACTACCGCAACCTACTCAAACACACTTTATAGTCTCACACGGGAAGCCAGATCTACAATCCTTTGATTGTGGATCTCTCTAGTTGCTTAGTTTTCATAGATTAATTTCTTAATAAATTTTTATATAATAATAAAAAATAGAAGATATTTAAAAATAGATTTAGAGACACAAATAGTTGCATTTGTTAAAAAAAAAATGATTAGTAAACATAAAATATTATAAATTGGACTTGTAACAGAACTAACAGGTCAGCGTATAAGCATGGGACAATACATAATTATAATAGATGAAGATACCATGATTGAGAAATGAAGACTTCACTACATTAAAATTAAACATTAGACCGTAGCAGATTGCTATAACAGAAAGTAAAATTAAAGTAAAATAAAAAGATATGAGACTAAAGTAAATCAGTGGGATGAGTAGGAGAAGGTCAGTACGGGATGACAATTGATAGTACCAGAAAATAATTAAGGAGAATGATTACTGATGAAGGAAGTAAAATCTAGTGTTGAGGAAAAGTGAACGATACGTTGGAATGAATTGAGAAAGATTGAAGTAAAACGATTATCAGGGACATACGTGGACGTGAAAGAAGAAAGAATTTAAAGGATAGTGTCAAGGGCCTGCACTGGAAAGGATGAGCTAGATGTTCTTGTAACGATTGAAATTAAGTTTGGAATAAATGCCAGTTAAGAATGAGGTATCGTATAAAGGTATCGAACAAGAACGAAACGGTTCACCATTGAGAACAAATGCCGTATAAGATGTGTTATGGTTAATCGGGTTACATGTAAAAAATTAGTACGGCTAAACAGATGAATTCTCGCTATAACATTTGAAAATCAAAGCGTTGAACAATGAAGAATAAGTGTGACAGATTGTTTGTAATGGCAATAAAACGTTGCTGGATGAAAGAAGATGCCAGAAAACGTCTA